ACCCAAAATTGGTCTTCGTGAGTCTATAACTTTACCAAATTTAATCCGATCTTAAAGTGGCATACCTCTAAAGACTTGTGATTTGATCCTCTAAAAATCTGCATTCAAAATTTTCACTTCAACGTTGATCAAATTTTTGACCCATTTTCATGTTAGTTATTTCTGATTTTCCGATGACTTGTTTAACTTTGACCCAAAATTGGTGTTTGAGAGTCTATAACTTTACTAAATTTAATCCGATCTTAAAGTGGCATACCTCTTAAGACTTGTGATTTGATCCTCTAAAAATCTGCATTCAAAATTTTTAATTTAACGGTGATTAAATTTTTGACGCATTTTCATGTTAGTTATTTCTGATTTTCCGATGACTTGTTTAACTTTGACCCAAAATTGGTCTTCGTGAGTCTACAACTTTACCAAATTTAATCCGATCTTAAAGTGGCATACCTCTAAAGACTTGTGATTTGATCCTCCAAAAATCTGCATTCAAAATTTTTAATTTAACGTAGATCAAATTTTTAAACCATTTTCATGTTAGTTATTTCTGATTTTCCGATGACTTGTTTAACTTTGACCCAAAATTGGTGTTCCAGAGTCTATAACTTTACTAAATTTAATCCCATCTTAAATTGGCATACCTCTAAAGACTTGTGATTTGATCCTCTAAAAATCTGCATTCAAAATTTTTAATTTAACGTAGATTAAATTTTTGACGCATTTTCATGTTAGTTATTTCTGATTTTCCGATGACTTGTTTAACGTTGACCCAAAATTGGTCTTCGTGAGTCTATAACTTTACCAAATTTAATCCGATCTTAAAGTGGCATACCTCTAAAGACTTGTGATTTGATCCTCTAAAAATCTGCATTCAAAATTTTTAATTTAACGTAGATCAAATTTTTAAACCATTTTCATGTTAGTTTTTTTCTGATTTTCCGATGACTTGTTTAACTTTGACCCAAAATTGGTCTTCGTGAGTCTATAACTTTACCAAATTTAATCCGATCTTAAAGTGGCATACCTCTAAAGACTTGTGATTTGATCCTCTAAAAATCTGCATTCAAAATTTTCACTTCAACGTTGATCAAATTTTTGACCCATTTTCATGTTAGTTATTTCTGATTTTCCGATGACTTGTTTAACTTTGACCCAAAATTGGTGTTTGAGGCATACCTCTAAAGACTTGTGATTTGATCCTCTAAAAATCTGCATTCAAAATTTTTAATTTAACGTAGATCAAATTTTTGACCCATTTTCATGTTAGTTATTTCTGATTTTCCGATGACTTGTTTAACTTTGACCCAAAATTGGTGTTCCAGAGTCTATAACTTTACTAAATTTAATCCCATCTTAAAGTGGCATACCTCTAAAGACTTGTGATTTGATCCTCTAAAAATCTGCATTCAAAATTTTTTATTTAACGTTGATCAAATTTTTGACTCATTTTCATGTTAGTTATTTTCAAGTTTTCGGTGAGTTGCATAAATACTAACCAAAGTGCACTTCCAGAGTCTATAACTTTACCAAATTTAATCCGATCTTAAAGTGGCATACCTCTAAAGACTTGTGATTTGATCCTCTAAAAATCTGCATTCAAAATTTTTAATTTAACGTAGATCAAATTTTTAAACCATTTTCATGTTAGTTTTTTTCTGATTTTCCGATGACTTGTTTAACTTTGACCCAAAATTGGTCTTCGTGAGTCTATAACTTTACCAAATTTAATCCGATCTTAAAGTGGCATACCTCTAAAGACTTGTGATTTGATCCTCTAAAAATCTGCATTCAAAATTTTCACTTCAACGTTAATCAAATTTTTGACCCATTTTCATGTTAGTTATTTCTGATTTTCCGATGACTTGTTTAACTTTGACCCAAAATTGGTGTTTGAGAGTCTATAACTTTACTAAATTTAATCCGATCTTAAAGTGGCATACCTCTTAAGACTTGTGATTTGATCCTCTAAAAATCTGCATTCAAAATTTTTAATTTAACGGTGATTAAATTTTTGACGCATTTTCATGTTAGTTATTTCTGATTTTCCGATGACTTGTTTAACTTTGACCCAAAATTGGTCTTCGTGAGTCTACAACTTTACCAAATTTAATCCGATCTTAAAGTGGCATACCTCTAAAGACTTGTGATTTGATCCTCCAAAAATCTGCATTCAAAATTTTTAATTTAACGTAGATCAAATTTTTAAACCATTTTCATGTTAGTTATTTCTGATTTTCCGATGACTTGTTTAACTTTGACCCAAAATTGGTGTTCCAGAGTCTATAACTTTACTAAATTTAATCCCATCTTAAATTGGCATACCTCTAAAGACTTGTGATTTGATCCTCTAAAAATCTGCATTCAAAATTTTTAATTTAACGTAGATTAAATTTTTGACGCATTTTCATGTTAGTTATTTCTGATTTTCCGATGACTTGTTTAACGTTGACCCAAAATTGGTCTTCGTGAGTCTATAACTTTACCAAATTTAATCCGATCTTAAAGTGGCATACCTCTAAAGACTTGTGATTTGATCCTCTAAAAATCTGCATTCAAAATTTTTAATTTAACGTAGATCAAATTTTTAAACCATTTTCATGTTAGTTTTTTTCTGATTTTCGGATGACTTGTTTAACTTTGACCCAAAATTGGTCTTCGTGAGTCTATAACTTTACCAAATTTAATCCGATCTTAAAGTGGCATACCTCTAAAGACTTGTGATTTGATCCTCTAAAAATCTGCATTCAAAATTTTCACTTCAACGTTGATCAAATTTTTGACCCATTTTCATGTTAGTTATTTCTGATTTTCCGATGACTTGTTTAACTTTGACCCAAAATTGGTGTTCCAGAGTCTATAACTTTACTAAATTTAATCCCATCTTAAAGTGGCATACCTCTAAAGACTTGTGATTTGATCCTCTAAAAATCTGCATTCAAAATTTTTTATTTAACGTTGATCAAATTTTTGACTCATTTTCATGTTAGTTATTTTCAAGTTTTCGGTGAGTTGCATAAATACTAACCAAAGTGCACTTCCAGAGTCTATAACTTTACCAAATTTAATCCGATCTTAAAGTGGCATACCTCTAAAGACTTGTGATTTGATCCTCTAAAAATCTGCATTCAAAATTTTTAATTTAACGTAGATTAAATTTTTGACGCATTTTCATGTTAGTTATTTCCAAGTTTTCGGTGAGTTGCATAAATACTAACCAAAGTGCACTTCCAGAGTCTATAACTTTACCAAATTTAATCCGATCTTAAAGTGGCATACCTCTAAAGACTTGTGATTTGATCCTCTAAAAATCTGCATTCAAAATTTTTAATTTAACGTAGATTAAATTTTTGACCCATTTTCATGTTAGTTATTTCTGATTTTCCGATGACTTGTTTAACTTTGACCCGAAATTGGTCTTCGTGAGTCTATAACTTTTACAAATTTAATCCGATCTTAAAGTGGCATACCTCTAAAGACTTGTGATTTGATCCTCTAAAAATCTGCATTCAAAATTTTTAATTTAACGTAGATTAAATTTTTGACGCATTTTCATGATAGTTATTTCTGATTTTCCGATGACTTGTTTAACGTTGACCCAAAATTGGTCTTCGTGAGTCTATAACTTTACCAAATTTAATCCGATCTTAAAGTGGCATACCTCTAAAGACTTGTGATTTGATCCTCTAAAAATCTGCATTCAAAATTTTCACTTCAACGTTGATCAAATTTTTGACCCATTTTCATGTTAGTTATTTCTGATTTTCCGATGACTTGTTTAACTTTGACCCGAAATTGGTCTTCGTGAGTCTATAACTTTAACAAATTTAATCCGATCTTAAAGTGGCATACCTCTAAAGACTTGTGATTTGATCCTCTAAAAATCTGCATTCAAAATTTTTAATTTAACGTAGATTAAATTTTTGACGCATTTTCATGTTAGTTATTTCCAAGTTTTCGGTGAGTTGCATAAGTGCTAACCAAAGTGCACTTCCAGAGTCTATAACTTTACTAAATTTAATCCGATCTTAAAGTGGCATACCTCTAAAGATCCTCTAAAAATCTGCATTCAAAATTTTCAATTTAACGTTGATCAAATTTTTGACCCATTTTCATGTTAGTAATTTCTAATTTTCCGGTGTCTTGTCCGGTGACTCAAAATTGGACTTCTAGAGTCCATAACTTTACCAAATTAACCCCATTTTAAAGTGGCATACCTCTAAAGATTTTTGGTTTGATTCTCTAAAAATCTGCATTCCAATTTTTTTTTTTATCATTGATCAACTTTCTGAACTTTTGTCTTGTAAAAAGGTGATCTATAATTGATCTTAACTTTGCCAGATTTAAGCCGATTTCAAAGAGACGGACCTGTTAAGACTCAAGGCTTAAGTATGTAATAACCTACATTTAACTATGTAATTATAGAGCTATTATATGCTATAGGGACCATATACATATATGAATCGAAATAAACAATATTTATTTTGTAACCGCTGCAAGAGCATATAAACTTCGACTTGTCAAAGTGACCTTCGTTTCTTGTTTTTAATAAAACTTATAATTGTCACGGTCCGTGATAAATATTATCTTTAAAAATATAGGAACATGGTTTTCGCCTATTCTTTAAACCGTTTCTTAAAAATATGAGACTGCCCATAAGTCACTGGACTCCTAAGAACCTCAATTGTTTGGTTCATTAAAGACCATCCGCAGCCCCTTTCAACGACCAAGTTTCCAAGAGTGTGCAACTGCGATTGCATTTGTCTTCGCCAGTCGTCAGACTGTTTGTCTCGTCTTGTCATGACTTGGTTTGGTTTTCTTGGCTCGGCTGGTTGGCTGGTTTGTACTGTTGCTTTAGTATGAGGCTGCTGACGGGCATTTGTCTGGCTTGACACCTCGGCATGTCAGTTGGCACCAGCGGGCTGTCAATATATTGTGGTTAGGACAATTACTCCGGAATTCCACGGCTAACGTTATTTCTCCCTATCTCTTCCTTCCATTTGCAGACGCTACAGGCGTGTCCCATAGTATGCATCAATGAGCGCGACACGCACAGTATCAGCACGAAGGTACTGCAACCAAGTTCGGCGAGCACACTAGAGAAGCCCAAGGCGGCGCTAGGAGGATCCACCACATCTGTGACCGGCGTGAACAACAATTGCATTGCCGTTAATGGTGGAGTGGGCGTAGAAGAAGCAGCAACTGCAACTGCGACTACCAGCAGTGCGGCTGGAGTGACCAAGATCACGATAACCAGTGACGTCGGCAACAGCAGCAAAACAGCCAGCACCGGGAGCTACAAGAACAGCAGCTTGGTGTCCATCACCAGCTTAAACAGCTGTAGTGACCTCAGTCAGGGCAGCACCGCCACCCTGCCCATCAGCAGCTGCAGCAGCAACGTCAGCAGCCACCCCCTCAGCGGCAACAGCAACAACAACAGCGGCAGCGACACCTCTTCCAACAACTTCCAGGAGCGGTTCGACTTCGAGCACTGGAAGGGCCTACTCAGCGACTACAACTGCTTTCCCGGGCTGTATCGCTATTGGAATCAGTATAGCGGACGCAGCGCCACCAACCGCGACAGTGTCAAAAGCGTCAACAGTAACGGCAGTGACGGCGACGGCAACGGCAACGGCAATCAACAGCAGTCACAGTCCGACCATGAGAATGGGCTGGGCACCGGAGCCGGCTCCTTCTACACACACAACATACTAGGATACACCTTCGGCTATCCTTTTGGCCTGAAGGAGGATCTTGACAGCCACAGCAACTGCAACGACAGCAGCAACACCAACAGTCTTGGCCTCAGAAAGTGGCTTTCGGGCAGCGCCAGCAGCAGCGAGACCCCGCTTCAGAAGCACTACAGACATCAGCAGAAGAAGAAGATGCCGGTGTTCAGAGGTAGAAGGGCGTGGTGCGGCTGCTTCAAGGTAAGTGATAGTCAACGTAGTAACTGAAACCCCCTTTCAAATATGCTAGTTAGTTCAAAGAGTGTTGTGAACCTTAAACCACACTCTTTAAGTCCTTTCTCGTACATCAAAAAAAGGCAAGGGGCTATCCATGTATTTCATGATTTTTGACCGCCTGCTTTGTATTGGTTTAAATTAGTTTAGTTTAGTGAATTTCCTATAATTTTCTATTAATGTCCATTTTAATGTTAGTTTATATATTTTACCCAAACCCTCGAGACCCAAGAACCAAGCTGAGTCAGCGACTAAACTATGAGCTATGAGCTCACCAAGCGCAACCGCTTCCTGAGCTAGCAGTCTAGGTTTTTGATTTGGTGTGGCATTCAGCTCGAGGTTGGCCAATGGCTTTGGCCAGAATTGAAGAAACCATCGAACTGAAAACGCACTGCTGAAGCTTGAGTAACCTGCCACTAATTTTGTTTCTAACTTTTCCGTTCCAGGACGATGAACCACCCGAGATTTGTGTGGTGGAAGGGGCGTTCACTCTTCAGACGCTCACGCCCACTCAACCCATGCCGTCGGTGGATGAGCTGGATACGAAGTTCGCGGAGCTGGTGGAGGAGCTCGATCTGACGGCTCCCAATAAGGAGGCGATGCTGAGCCTGCCTGCTCAGAAGAAGTGGCAGATCTACTGCTCGAGGAAACTTCCCCTGGATGCAGGAGATGGTCCAGATGCGGCGGCTATTACTCAGCCTCCCACCGCAGAGCACTACATAGAGCGACTGAAGGAGCTGGTGGTGCACATATCCCTCTCGCCGGAGGACTCACCCAGCCATGAGCTGGGAAACCGCCTGGATGGCCATGCCGCCTTTGTAGACGCCCTGAAGACCGCCCTGAGAACCTCCACGCATAGCTTCGTGCTTCGATTTGTGGAGCTGGACGGGCTGCCGGCCCTGCTCGACCTCCTGCTGCAGTTGGACATCCGGGTGGCTAACAGCCCGCTTCATACCAGTCTCATTGGGTGCATTAAGGCGCTGATGAACAACTCTATGGGACGGGCACACGTGCTAGCTCATCCAACGGCCATTGACACTATAGCCAGATCCCTGGTTGCGGACAACATCCGCACCAAAATCGCCGCCCTGGAGATTCTGGGTGCCGTGTGTTTGGTGCCTGGTGGACATCGCAAGGTGCTGCAGGCCATGCTCTACTTCCAGGAGTTCGCCACAGAGCGAACCCGTTTCCAGAGCATCGTCAACGATCTAGACCGATCGACCTATGCGTACAGGGAAAATGTCAATCTGAAGACCGCCCTCATGTCGTTCGTGAACGCGGTACTTAACTATGGACCCGGCCAGGAAAACCTCGAGTTCCGGCTGCACTTGAGGTACGAGTTTCTTATGCTGGGCATCCAACCCGTGATCGATAAGCTGCGCACGCACGAGAACGAGACGCTGGACAGGCATTTGGTGAGTACTTGCCATTCCTTCCACTAGCTGGCCTTCCTCCAATGCTTTGACCTCAATTCCCCGACAGGACTTTTTTGAGATGGTTCGTGCCGAAGACGAGAAGGAGTTCGCCCGCCGCTTCAATGAGGAGCACGTGGACACCAAGAGCGCCGGTTCCATGTTTGAGCTCCTGCGCCGCAAACTCAGCCATTCGCCCGCTTATCCCCACATGCTCTCCCTCCTGCAGCATATGCTCCTGCTGCCCTGTAAGTAGTATTTCTTATGTTTTATTTGTCATCTAATCCTTGTCAACTTCCTGTCAACAGACACGGGTCACTGCACAGAGCACTGGCTACTGATAGACCGCGTGGTGCAGCAGATTGTGCTGCAGGTGGAGCAGCGGCCGAGTAGCGATCTCATCCCCGATCCGGATGACTTAGGAAAGCAGTTGAAGCTGGCCGCTGACTCGCCTGTCCACGATCCTGACGTGGCGCCGCTGCAAATCGACGTAGCCAAGTTGGTGCGTCTGTTGGTCAAGGAGGAGCAGCTGACGCAAGCGCGGAAGCGGGCCGACGAGCTGGAGCGCGAGAACTTCGACGTGCAGTCGCGACTGGCTAAGAAGGAGCAAGAGCTCGACCTGCGAATGCAGGAGAAGGAGGACCTGGAAACGGGTCTGGCGCGTATGCGCGAGCGTTTGGAGAAAGAGTCCGCCCAGCACTCGCAGGCGGTGCAACGGGCGCAGTCCGCCGAGATGCGGGCGGAGGACTTACAGCACCGTCTGCTCAGCGAGCAGCAGGAGCGGTCTCGTCTGGAGCGGCTGGTTACGGAGGGCAGTATCCCTGACGACCAGAAAGTGGCCGGTCTCACTGGCTGCAATGGGGCTGTGTCGCCCCCGCCGGCGCCACCCATGCTCAAGGCCATCCCACCGCCTCCTCCGCCCATGGCGCCGGCCATGATGCCTCCACCACCGCCTCCCTGCCCGGGAGCCCCTCCTCCGCCACCAAGTATGGCACAAACGATGGGTGAGTTGTATAGAGAGGCTTAAATGAGCCACCACTGTGAATTTTGCTCCTATAAACTGCAATTTGACGCTTTTCCACAGCTCCTGCGCCACCGAAAGTGGATCTGCCAAAGAAAAACGTGCCACAGCCAACGAATCCGTTGAAGAGCTTCAACTGGTCGAAACTGCCGGACGCCAAACTTCAGGGCACCGTGTGGAACGAGCTAGACGAGAGCAAGCTGTATAACAACATGGAGCTGGAGTCGATAGATAAGCTGTTCTCAGCATACCAAAAGAATGGCGTGTCGGTGAGTTGAAATCAGGGGTTCCTATCCCTAGCCTTCGCTATTAAGACCGTCTTTCCTTCCCAGGCCACCGATGGATCCTACGAGGATTTGCGGGTGACTGGCAAGTCGGCCAAGCAGAAGGTGTTGTCGGTGATCGACGGACGTAGGGCGCAGAACTGCACGATCCTGTTAAGCAAGCTGAAAATGAGCGACATGGAGATATCAAAGTAGGGTAGATGACTTTTCACAAACCATGCATACTAACCACTCTATTTGTAGAGCAATTCTCTCCATGGACAGCAACGAGCAACTGCAACTGGACATGGTCGAACAGCTACTAAAGTTCACCCCCTCGTCGGAAGAGCGAGCTTTGCTGGATGAGCACAGCGAAGACATTGAGTCCCTGGCACGGGCCGATCGCTTCCTCTACGAGATATCCAAGTGGGTTTAATTTAAGGCATTAGTAAGGGTAATATCTCATGTACACTCATCGATTTCCAGAATCCCTCACTACGAGCAGCGGCTCAAAAGTCTGCACTACAAGAAGCGTTTTATGCTGACGATCAACGATCTGATCCCCCGCATCACTAGTGTGATGGAGGCCTCTCGTGAGGTGGCTCGTTCCCGTCGCCTGCGCAAGCTTTTGGAGTTGGTCCTGGCCTTGGGTATGCTTCACTGCCACCTGCCCAATACTCTCGATAACACAGTCTATTTGTATTCCACCAGGCAACTACATGAACCGCGGGGCACGCGGCAACGCCTCTGGATTCCGACTGGCCTCGCTCAACCGCTTGGCGGACACCAAGTCCAGTGCCGCCAAGGGCACCACTCTGCTGCACTACCTCGTCCAAGTGATCGAGCGCAAATTCAAGGACTTGCTAAAGCTGGAAGAAGACATTCCGCATGTGCGCGAGGCCTCGAAGGTTTCTCTGGGAGAGATGGACAAGGACATTCAGATGCTGCGCACCGGGTTGGCGGACGTAGCCCGTGAGATCGAGTTCCATCGAAGTTCGGGTCCCGCCCAGCAAGGTGACCGCTTTCTGCCCGTGATGCGCGAGTTTCACGCCCAGGCGTCGGTGCGGTTTGCGGAGCTGGAGGACAAGTTCCAGGACATGAAGACGCGTTTTGACCGGGCGGTGCGTCTGTTCGGCGAGGACGGATCGGTTCTGCAGCCGGACGAGTTCTTCGGCATTTTCGACTCGTTCCTCGGCGCCTTCGCGGAGGCGCGGCACGACAACGAGAGCTTTCGCCGGCGCCAGGAGGAGGAGGAAAAGCGTGCCAAGCAGGAAGCGGAGCTCAAGAAGCGCACAATCGAGCGCAAGAACAAGAGCGGTCTGATGAGCAGTGTGGCCCGCAACCTGGGCCTCAAATCTGGCTCGCCCACCAGTGGCCTGGATTCCCCGGCGAGAGGCGGGGTCGGCGATAACAAGGGCGAGTTCGACGACCTCATTTCGGCCCTGAGGACCGGCGACGTATTCGGCGAGGACATGGCTAAGTTCAAGAGATCGCGTAAGGCGCGCGTGCTTAACGGTGGAAGCGCCAACACCGGACACACCTCTCCACCCCGTCACGGCAGCCTGCAGCGCGAGGAAAGCGGGCGGGAGCGCGAACGGACCGTAAGACGCCAGTAATAACAGAGCAGAGGTCAAGAGGATTAAGATTAGTTAGTTTACCCTCTGGCTTCAACCCCATTCTAAAGTATTGTTTTAAAATTGCGCGCAGGTATTTTGTTCTTACATGGTAAAGACACTTTTTGTAATTATTTATATCTACTATTCGTACGCATATACTACGATTTATATATACTTACATATATAGCACATAATCTAAAGCTCGGCTACTGCAAGCGTTAAACCAAATTTTTTACAAACGAAAACTTAATTGTAATTTAAAGTCTAAAGAAATGTTATGAACTAATCTTCTCGCCGTGGAGCTGATCATCATGTATAGCATACCTTAAAAATTGTATTTGGCAACCATACGGCATACATGCTTCTATATCTGTACACACCTAGTGCTTATCATAACTCAAACCTGTAAACCCAAAGCAGCACTCAGCAGCATAATTTTCGCACATGGAATCGCTACAGAGTTCGAAGAAGCTCGCCGGTCTGCCATAAAGTCATGTTCATAATTAAGGTCTATATTGTTTGTTTTTTCATTTTTTTTAGCACGAGATTCAGTAGCGTACCCGTATCGAACATATAGAACTTTTAGAGCGCATTAGGAGTTTGCACAGACACACGTCCTCAGCATTTTCTAATGATAATTACACCCTAACCATAAACAAATTATAATAAAGATAAACTTCTTCCAATTTGTTTATTATTCTAAATATAGGATGGGAAAATATGGCTGTGGGAAAAATTGGGCTGGGCCAGTCCACTTTGACGGGCAAATTTCAATTTGTCGGTTTTGAAACACCAGGCGAACATAAATGCCAGCAGGTGGCTGCGCAATTTAAATTAAATTAAATGTTATTTCAAAATCGATCTGCCCAAAAGTATGCAACACAATTTTAAATTGCAATTGCTAAGGGCGCTGGCTACTTGCTAAGCATTTCTGTTCGCCTGGTACTTCGATATGGGAAGTTGCCCATTTTGCATGGGAAAAGTTTGGTTTGGCGGTCCACTTTGACGGGCAAATTTCAATTTGTCGGTTTTGAAACACCAGGCGAACATAAATGCCAGCAGGTGGCTGCGCAATTTAAATTAAATTAAATGTTAATTCAAAATCGATCTGCCCTAAAGTATGCAACAAAATTTTAAATTGCAATTGCTAAGGGCGCTGGCTACTTGCTAAGCATTTCTGTTCGCCTGGTACTTCGATATGGGAAGTTGCCCATTTTGCATGGGAAAAGTTTGGTTTGGCGGGCCACTTTGACGGGCAAATTTCAATTTGTCGGTTTTGAAACACCAGGCGAACATAAATGCCAGCAGGTGGCTGCGCAATTTAAATTAAATTAAATGTTAATTCAAAATCGATCTGCCCTAAAGTATGCAACAAAATTTTAAATTGCAATTGCTAAGGGCGCTGGCTACTTGCTAAGCATTTCTGTTCGCCTGGTACTTCGATATGGGAAGTTGCCCATTTTGCATGGGAAAAGTTTGGTTTGGCGGTCCACTTTGACGGGCAAATTTCAATTTGTCGGTTTTGAAACACCAGGCGAACATAAATGCCAGCAGGTGGCTGCGCAATTTAAATTAAATTAAATGTTATTTCAAAATCGATCTGCCCTAAAGTATGCAACAAAATTTTAAATTGCAATTGCTAAGGGCGCTGGCTACTTGCTAAGCATTTCTGTTCGCCTGGTACTTCAATATGGGAAGTTGCCCAGTTTTCATGGAAAAAATTTGGTTTGGCCGGTATATTTTTTTTTATTTGGTGTATTTTTTTTTATTTTGTGTTTTTTTTTTGTAAGATAATGTACAGAAAAATTAATAAATATTAAATATTGTGTCCTCGAGCGGCCTCGTGCTCGCACTCAAATTCCTGATTCTGCTCCTGGGCGTGCCCGTCACGGCGTCTGAACGAGCCGCGAAAAAACTGAGGCACCAAAACTGTGGAACAGCTGTCCTTGAAGTGGGTGAACCTGCGGCGAGCGCTGGCCTCGCGGCTGGGAAAGATGCCGTCCACTATCTGGCGTTGGAGTGAATTGAGTGAGAGCTTGGAAATTCTCAGCAGATCAGTGGGCGTCAGGTAGCCGGAAGTGCTCCAGCTGCTCGGCAGACAGGCCCGTTTTTGGCTACCCAATTTGCCTGCTGACGACTTCCTTTGAGCTCCAATGCGGACCTAGTCCCAGTTGCCTAAAGTGCTTCAGGTCCGAAAAGTAATCTGATAAAGTTAAAGAGTTAAAAATCCGTTTTGACCTTAAAGCAAATAAAAGGATAACTCACAACGTCCAGATTCGGGGTGCTACGAATATTTCATTTCGGTGATTCACCAATAACCCTGATTTGTTGTGTACAAAGAGTGGCCTTTGCTTAAGTGTCATCATACACTGAAAAGGAAAAAATGTATGTTGGTAATTTGTATAAAATATTCGATATGTTCCAAGCTCGAGTCTTAAGCTGTTTTTAAAGGTTTGATACCATTGATACCTTGGCAAGCCGATGTTTATGCATCTACCCTTGCAGTATAACTATAATAAAATATTCTATAAAATGGTATTGCGTGCACAATTTTCTACCAATGAATTGAACATTTCTGATAGCTTTGCCAAAATAAGACGCACAGCCAAAAGAATGAATGTTTCGTGTAGTATTCCAGGAGGATTTGATAAATTTAATTTTTTGACCGATTTTCGCATTTTTCATAAGGGGTAATACTTGATTTTTTGCCAAATATGGCCAAAAATAAACTTTTTGACCATTCGATTGGAAATTTTGTAACGAATTTAACGCGATATGACATTCCAAGATCTGACCATTATTTCCAAGGGTTTTGGTTAAAAAACTGAAAGAACGAGCTGTTTTTTTCTGGATTTTGTCTATCAAAAACATATATTCAAAACATATTTTTTAAGGGTTTTTTTCTAGTAGCTTTGCCAAAATAAGACGCACAGCCAAAAGAATGACTGTTTCGTGTAGCTGGCAACCTACACAATCGATTCCAGGAGGATTTGATAAATTTAATTTTTTGACCGATTTTCGCATTTTTCATAAGGGGTAACACTTGATTTTTTGCCAAATATGGCCAAAAATAAACTTTTTGATCTGAGTATACCATTCGATTGGAAATTTTGTAACGAATTCAAAGCGGTATGACATTCCAAGATCTGACCATTATTTCCAAGGATTTTGGTTAAAAATCTGAAAGGACGAGCTGTTTTTTTCTGGATTTTGTATAACATTTGTTTTAACATTGCTAAAATATGACGCACAGCCAAGAAAATGACTTGTTCTGCAGGTGAGAACCTATACAATCAATTTCATGTTAATTTGGTCAAATTTATTTTGATTATGACTTTGTACGGAAATTGGTTAATAAATAAAATTTTCTAGCGAGGAATGCCAGTCGATTGTAAATTTTATAACGAATTCGATTCGAGCTTAGTTTGCGTAGAAACGAACAGATCGACGTACAATTTTTCTGAGTAAATGTTTTTTTGTGTGTTTGTTGTTGCATTAAATGCAACAGTTTAAAGTAAAACAAGAGAGAACGCTATAGTCGAGTGCTTCGACTATTAGATACCCGTTACTCAGCTAAACAACTTAATATAAATATGCCTTCTTGTATGTTTTTCGCCGCTCGAATTAGCACCTTGGCCAGCTGTTCCAAAGTCATCCGTTAGATGGCGCCATGAAAGGCGGAAACGTAGGCGCTAGCCAGGCTTAAGCGTTTAATGGGTTTTTGGGCGTTAGAGTGGGCGTGGCAAACTTTTATTAGGCCAATCGATAGGTATTGACGAAACAAATACACATCAATTTTCATAATAGCATCAAAACTGTGGCCACAGCTTGTGGCTTGTGGGCGTCAGAGGGGGTGTGGCACCATTTTGAAACAAACTTGCGCTGCGTAGGAACTCCTAAAATCTACGTGCAAAATGCCAATCTTCTAGCTTTTATAATTTCCGAGATCTCAGCGTTCATACGGACAGACAGACGGACAGACAGACGGACAGACGGACATGGCTAGATCGACTCGGCTAGTGATCCTGAACAAGAATATATATACTTTATAGGGTCGGAAACGCTTCCTTCTACCTGTTACATACTTTTGCACGAATACAATATACCCTTTTACTCTACGAGTAACGGGTATAATTAATTTAAATCAGATACTAAAATTTTAAAGCCATACTTTCATCACTTTTGCAGATCCATGCTTACCTGCTCCGTGTTCTTTCACTGCCAACTTGACTTCATCTTTAGATTGTGAGGTCTCCACGACGTGAACCAACTCTTGACGGTATTGATAAGATGTCGCAACATTGCGAATTTATGCAAAATACGAGCGAATACCCAAGTGCGTGAGCTCATGGGATATTCATAGGCGAGCCAGAGTCTCTGTGGACGGGAGCGGGGCGAGTGCAGCTGCCACCTGAGCCCGGCAACTAACCTCCAGTTGCCAATTGCCTTATCACGACTGCGCAGCTACGGCAAAAAGGCTGCATTAGAGGAAATCGCTAAATGGAAACACGCGAGTTCGGCTTTTATAGATTCCGCCGGCGCGGGCCATGCACGCATATCGATACGGGCGCATTAAAATTTAACGGCATCGCAGCCCCATTCACCCACCCTGCAACACGGCGAAGCGGACACGTGCGCACTTGGGCTTGTTCTTAACAAAGGAATAAAAACTTGACACCGCCGCACATGACACCGCGGCAGTGGCTGGCGGTGGGTGTGGTGTAGCAGGAAACTTGTTATTTGCCAGTCCAGTCGGGTAAGGACATTAGTGCGTTTCTGGCATTTAATTCAAGTTCATTTCGCTCTGGCCCCTTCCCATCCGATCACTGAAATAATCACCATTTATAAATGAAATTTCAATCTGATACGAAATCGAAACTAGATATTAATGTTTTGTCAGTTGTTAATTAAAGTAAAAGATAGCCAAATTCTTAAACAAAATTACAAGAATTAAATGTAAAACCTGTTGAACTTTGACACTGGGTTCAAGTAGATTTTATTTCAAGCTTTAACTCAATATTTTGAAAAGTTAAAGTTAGCTATTTGTGAAAGGGTAGGTAATCAACAAAAATATTTTAAGTAATACCTAGGATAGGTAGGATAAAGATAAAGAGAATTATTTCTGACTGTGTTCCGGTCAGTCGTTTTCTGTTTTGGCCTGGAGCTTTGTACACGCGGAGGTCTCGTAAAGCGCGGCACTGAATGGAGCGCAGCGACCCTAAGCGAAATTTCATTGGCTTTTACGGCATCGTGAGCTGGGCTTTCACTTTCCATTCTCGAGTTTCCTCGGATCTGGTCGTCTGGAGGCTACCTCTTCTCCCCATGCTCATTTCCACACCCCTATGCCGCTTCTCGGCGACATTGACGTTGGCAGTGGCATCGCCACTTTGCATCTCCGCAGTGCAGAACAGCGCGCCACCCTTCTTGGCAATGCCAACCTCTTGTGGGGCAGACATGTCGCCTCGCGTGCGTCCTGCAACCCATTCGGCACTCCCAGACGGCCGCCACCCCAATTCACTTTTCAATAGTGCAGAAAAGTGCAGGCAGCAGATCCAGCTCCATCTACGGCCTCGGCTTCGGTTTGAGTCGCCCCGGAGCACACCCAGACAGTGCCAGCAGCCACCACCGTTTCATACTCGTTGCAGCTTCTTCTTGCACCCTTCCCATGCCGCTGCCCCCC